TGAAGCCTAGTTGAATTGAATATCACCAACAAGAGCGAGCCCAGCAGAACTCTTTTCTATTTCGAGTTTGAATTTCACGTATAATTTGAAGCTAACGATGAGTGGAAATTTGGAATCCTGTTTATTTTCTAGAAAAACATGCATATAATATGAAGCAATATTTGTTTATGTTGCCATATTAGGTAATTACTTCAAGCCATAATTGAGTGACGAGTAGGGAAACTGTTTGATTATTTATAAAAGCTTCTTTTAATCGTTGTTGAACGTAGTAGACAAATAGTGTCTTAGAACGGTATATTTTCACATATTTCAATACATGAACACGTTAGAGAGGAAAAATATTTGCTAATTCCACACAAAAAGAATTGCATGATTTTTAGTGAAAAGAAAAAAATCATGAAATTGGGAAGAGCCATTTTCATTTTCGTATCCCGATTTCAACCGAGATCTAAAACAATATTTCAATGAAACAAATATTTAAACTGTCATGTTTAACACATTTGTTCATGACAGTAAGATTTTGATTGACTCTAGACACAAATTTAAAGTTGTTGTTCATATACACTTGTGGATATACAATTATACTATACTACCCAGTTTTTTTACTTTTCATGTGATACACGTTCGCGATTTTGACAAAACCACATTGAATGAAAGTATATGAATTCCATGTCTACTTGCTCTGCTATAAACTTCCTCTTTTTTAACAAATCTAGTATTATATGGTGGTATCATTCTGTGTAGCCACTTTTTCAATATGCGTAACTTATTTGCGTCCCTGCCATATCAGAATCATCCTCCGATGTCAATTTTTACGAAAAAAGCTCTGGGGATTTGTTTTCGTCCCGTCTTAGACTTAAATTCGTCGAGAATTGTATTAAGTATGTAGTTCATGCAAAGAATCACATTATCAGACGTGTCCATGGAAACATATTAGAAATATATAGGAGGGATGTTGCTCTGAAAACCAGCTACTCTTAGATCTTGTATGGATCGGTTAGCTCATTGAAATTCTCGCCAGTAAGTTGCGGTCACCTTTGATCGCCTATATCTAGGTAATGGGACACTTCTGAATGCACTTTGATGGATGATTCGGTATTTATTTAAGTATATTACAGGTTTCGCTTATTTTTACAAATGTAAAAAGTATTCACTGTCACTGCAACCACGTCTTTTGAAATTGAAAATTTGAGCATTATACTCGATTTAGAACAAATGGCATGGATATATTCCCCAGTACTAGCGAGGGTATAAATAAGCGGGTATAACGCTCCGACTCATTTATAAATCATTGCGCCATTCATTTAAAATACTTGATTTTTTTGTAAATGAAATTGACACATTTTGTAAAATTAAATTTACTTTATCAATTAAATGATAAGGATTGCACAAGATAATAAATTGTTCCATCAATGTAAAGACCGAAAACCTGCATTCTTTTACATAAACGACTTAGTGGTTTATTCAGAGTGTACTTCGGTTTTCGATCCAAACATCGATAGACTAATTTATTATTTGATCCTATCCTTAAGCCATCTATTTATGTATTCTATAATGCAGATTAACATACGCGTCATGCGCCTAATGTGATCGTATTCATTCCTA